GTAGAGATAGAAAAAAAGGGTTGTAGATAAATGAAGAAATTCCCAAGCAATTACTGTTTGTGCCTGTGGAGAGTCAGGTTGTAGGGGTTGGGGGGATTTGCTATGTTTTCTCATTTGGGGATGCATGTAGGGGAAGGAAGAAGAGGAGAGAACTGGTTGGGGCCTGCATTTGTGGGAGTTCATGAAACTGGGATGCCACGCGTTGCTTCAGTACCTGGTGAGGAAGTTGCTGGAAGGGTAGGTTTTCTTCCAAATGCACAAGGAGCCTTAGAGATGGGTAGTTTTACAGAATGTCAAGCCACAGACACAGAATTTCACGAGGAAATCTTCAAGATGTTTTGAAAAATAAATTGTTGGAAATAGGCACGGCGGCCTCATGATGAGGCAGCAACCAGATCTCCTCCCGGGGACAATTAACAGAGCCGAGGAGGTCACAGTTAGTATTAGTACCGTAAGCGATTAGAGAAATCACAGGAAGGGCATCCTCATTTCTCTCCTGTGTAAGTGACAACTGGACATTCTGGTTAAATACATAACAGTTATCTTAACCGCCCTATCTTTCTGAAAGAAACGATACAACTACAAAATATACAACAATCTTACTAAAAAAAGGCACCTCTCCCACATAAATATCAAACTATAAAGAAAAATACTGACTCATCAGACTGGAGTTTATTTGTAAACAGTCTCAGGTCAAGTCAGTGTTGTGTCGACTACTTCAGAAACCACCGAAGATTCCCGTTTCAGTGACAGGCAGCAGCAGCTGCAGTTGAGACCACAACATATCTAGAAGTTTGAGTGAAGCGGGCAGTTGGCAACATAATGTCTTCATGAATTTATGGTGTGAGTAATTCTGAAGGCTATAGGACAGTGGTTCTCAACCTTCCTAATGCCACTACCCTTTAATACAGTTCCTTATGTTGTGGTGACCCCCAATTTCATTGTTACAAATTGAACATAATTAAAGCATAGTGATTAATCACAAAACAATATGTAATTATATATGTGTTTTCTGATGGTCTTAGGTGACCCCTGTGAAAGGGGTCAAGAACCACAGGTTGAGAACCGCTGCTATAGGAGCTACTGTGGAGTATGAGAATTAAACAAGAAAATGGAGAGTCTAACTTACCCACATTACAGTAATATCTATGTAAAAAATCTTACTCAACTTTGAAGGTAGATGGTTTGAGATGGGCTCTAGTTTAACCTTGTTTCCTTTTATATTTGTCTGAAAATCCTGTGGAAGCTATGGAATTCGGGCTGATGACTGTAGTGCCATGACCTTCAGAGCTGTGCTCCTTATAATTTCCAACAACCTGAAGGGAGTGTGGGACCCAAAACAAATGATTATATGCATTTAATAAGAGACTATAAATTGGTTTTCTTTTCTGTTGTTATTTTAAAATTTATGAAACAGACAGATTAACTTTCTTCTTTGGTGTACATGCCTACAAATTTAACTCATGTGTAGATTTGTTGTAACTATCTCCACACTCAGTATGCAGAGCAGTGCCATCACCTCAAAAACTCCCTCAAGCTGTCAACCTGTATTCATGCTCCCCCCACCTCCACCCCTGGCAGCCACTCAGCTACTCTTCATCAACACCGTTTGTCTCTTGAGAATGTCATATAAGTGGAAATATACACTGTGTCACCTTTTGAGACTGTGTAGTGTATAGATGTTCCATAGTTTGTTTATCCATTTTCCCACTGCAGGTCATTTTGGTTTCGGTGTTTATGAGTAGACCTTCCTTTCATTTTTGTGTATACCTAAGCTTTCATTTCTTTAGTATAAACCCCCAGGCATGAAATTGCTGGGTCATATTGTAAGTGCATCTCCAACTTCATAAGAAACTGCTAAACTGTTTTCCACAGTGACTGTCATTTTGCATTCCCACCAGCAGTGCAGCAAAGTTCCAGCTGCTCTGGAACTCCTCAGCACTTGGTAATTGTTTGTTCTAGTCATTCCACTAGGTATGCACCTATTGGACCACAGTGGTGTCTTGTTGTGGTTTTAATTTGCATTTCTCTAATGGTTAGTGAGGATGAATATTTTTTATGTGCTTATTTGCCATCATTATATCCACTTAAAATTTTTGTTCAAGTCTTTTGCCTATTTCATAATTGGATTGGTTGTTTTCTTATTGTTGTTTTGAGAGATCTTTATATATTCTAGATATAAATCCTTTGGTAGATATATGATTTGCAAATAGGTTTTCCTGGTCTGTAGCTTATAGTTTCCTTTTCTTAAAAAATACCTTTTGCATAGCAAGAGTTTTAAATGTTGATGAAGTCAAATGTTTTTCTTTTATGGATTCTGTGTAATATACTGTATGTAGGAAGTTGGTACCAAATCCTAGGTCTGTAGTTATGGAGACCTCTCTGATACTGGCTACTCCCCAGAATGCTCTTCTCATCCCCTTGGTTGTCTCCTTCAAGACCCAAACATTACTTCCTTAGAAGAGAGTTCTTCCCCCTTCCTCTTTGCCCCCCTGGGCACAATTATTTCCTTCTCTGTGTGCCCTCTGTGAACACTTACCTTCCTGGCTGTAATTTTTATTTCCATCCCCACCTCCTACCAACCAGGGAACTCTAGGGAGCAGGCTCTGGAACTATAACCTTTGTGTGCCCCAGCACATGGGTTAGTACATAGCAGGTACTTAAGGCATTTGCTGAAAAAAAACCAAACCAGACACAATTATCCTTCTATCCTTTATAATTATGGGATAGGCTAAGGACAATTTGAGTATCTATAAAAATGTTATTGCTGGAAGGGCATTTAAAAATTATCTTCAGTTTGTAATTATAGGTTTCTTAGTCTTTGAGACATCTCTTGATTTAGTCATCTGAATGAGCTTGCTGGAGAACATTTTTTTTTCCTCAGAAGAAAAACTATAAGACAATGAATGACATCCATGTAGAATTATGGGAAATTTTAAGTAGTTAAAGCTTTAGTAGACTGTAGGCACCTACTAGAGAAGAAGGGAGCTCGTATGAGGGCAAAAGAGTAATGATCAGAAAGTGGCAAAGAAGCTCTGAGGCTTGTCCTTCCCCATCAGCCCTACACCTCCATCTCTCAGGTGAGGCCTGGGCTAATAGGTAGCATCTCTTGGGAGGACAACTTGGAAGCAAGGTCCTTGGGCAGAGTCAGGGTTTGGTAAGACCAGGAGGTAGATAATACAATTATTCACATAATTCTTCTGTGAAGAAGTAAAGGAGTGTTTTTACCATGAGATGGGGTTATTAGCCAGAAAAGTACAGAGAATTTGGAAGTGGTCAGCAGTGGGTGGAAGGGAGTTTTCCAAGGCAACACAATACTGAGCATCCTAAGAGGGCAAAGGAAGCAGGGCCTGTGCTTTGAGGTGGTTGAATATCAGGAATAGGAGGTGTGAGGGATAAATGGAGTAGATGCTCAAAGCAAGCATTAGCTGAGACCCCAGGCAGTATGGAATATCTGATGATAGCAGTTAGAGGCTGAAAGCAGCAGAGATAACTAATATGCATATGATTGGTTCCCAAGTGCTGGTTAATAGGGTCATGGAGTATTTGCCCTGAAGCTCTTTCGGACTGCATGTGCTCATGGGCCACATTTGTAAGAACTTCACTTAATTAGGACTCCAAAGTCTATTTAGTTTAAACTTTTCATCTCTTTCAGGTTGTTGTTGTCACCAGTTTGTACCACTGTCATCAACTGGTTCTTGGGTTTCAAGAACTAATATTGGAGCATTTATTGGAGTTGCACAGTACTTAATATTCAAAATTCAGAACAACTCTCTATCATTCTTCAGTAGATTTTTTTCGGCCTATTTTTACACATTGTTAAATAAGGTTACATTTTAGTTTTTCTTTAAAAACAAGTAATTGAATTACGTGGAATCAGCAGGCTGTTTCCAGCATAGAATGACTGTTTTGACACTCATGATAGGGCTTCAGGACTCAAATGCTATCTTAAAATGTTAGCCTTGCCAAAAATCATCCATTTAAAAAACAAACACTGATCATCACTAAAAATGGGTAACTGAGCAGGTTCATCTGACATCAGTATCATTTTAATGCTCAATTGTCTCAAATGCTCACGTAAATATCACTATTGATGCTGCTCATTCCATGTAGCTGCCTCTGATGGCACAGTGGAGTTTGGCAACTTGTAAGGGTAAGTGCCATATCAGACACCAAATCTGCATGCCTAATAGTATGTGTGGGAGAGATTGAAACCTTGAGTTAGTAATGTTTCTATTTATACTGTCTCTGTCTTACAGAACGAACTATTTTGTCTTTCTTCATCCTTGGGGTTTCTCTGGCTTTCCTTCTTAAGAGTGATTCTGCTTGCAAAGTGTGGGATGAAATTTAGATATCATCATGAATTTAGGGATTAACATTCCCTGTGGGAATGTGACAATTGGTCTTTACATTGAAGACCCCGTGGTTCATTGACAATAGGTGGTAATTCCTATGGAACACAAATTCTAGCCCATCTTTCTTCATGCTTGGTGTCTGGATGAAGCCTCATCCTGAAACATTGTGTGTTCCATGGAGCTCGCCACCAGCAAAAAGAATAGCTGTTGGCTCACTTGCCAGAATCACAAACTGTAAATAAAGAGAACAGAGAGTGGATTTGTGAGGTGGCCTCTCAGCTTGGCACCTGAAAGGATTTTGGTATCTGAAAGAATAAGAATTTTTATGGGTTAGGAAAAGATCAACTTACCTGTATGCGCAAAAGGCCCGGTGCCCAGGAACATGGCCTGCAACTAACAAAGGCTCACTCTCTAACATGTGCTCACCTGACCTGTTGGCCCTGATGATTGGTGTCAGGTGAAGAAGTGACCTTTTGGCAAAGAAGTCATTCTATCTTTGCTATTTTTTTTTCCCCACTGCAGGACATTTGCGAAGATATTTCTGATCATGTTGAGCAAATCCATGCCCTCCTTGAGACTGAGTTCTCCCTGAAGCTGCTGTCCTACTCTGTCAATGTGATTGTGGACATCCACGCGGTACAGCTCCTCTGGCACCAGCTCCGGGTCTCGGTGCTGGTTCTGCGGGAGCGCATCCTGCAAGGTCTGCAGGACGCCAATGGCAACTATACCAGGCAGACGGACATTCTGCAAGCTTTCTCCGAGGAGACAGCTGAGGTGGGTATTTTTTTGAAGCCATATCATGTGTTGTCAAGTGTGACCTTTTGAGAATGTTTTCATCACAGAGCTGTGGGGTAGGAATTCTTTGTAGGTAGATAAGCAGGTCCTGAGCTGGGCTTTGAACCGAGGTCTAGTGACAGAAGCTCGGGCACTTTTAATGTGAATGAAGCTTTAGATCAGAATTAACTCACACCTACCTGATAGTTTGCCCAGAAACCACCCATACTTGTATTAATTTGGCTCCTTGTTCCCTATTTAACACTTGGAGTGGGGGAAACGAGTTAAGTCGGCTCGCGTGAACAGAGCTGTGGGGTAGGAATTCTTTGTAGGTAGATAAGCAGATTTGTGGTGGAGTGCGGGAAACGTGTAAACTCGGGCCGATTGTAACTGCGTATTACCAAATATTTGTTTGTAATCCACCCTTTTGGTGGATGGAACAAAACCAAAAGACAGAGCCATCCCATACTTGTATTAATTTGGCTCCTTGTTCCGTGTTAATTTATACTTATTGAGCACTTACTATGGGCCAAGCATTAGGTGCTAGGAATATAATAGTGAACAAAACATAGTCTTTGCTTTCGAGCAGTTTAGAGCCTAGCGGGGGATGTAGGCACGTGAACAGACATTAAGGCCATATGGCGATAGGTCTATCTGATGCACTGGAGGACAGAGAAGGAGCACCTAATTCAGACAGGAAGCCTTCCCAGGAGTGAGTCTAATCTGAGACCTACAGGAGCATCGGGATCAAACTGGTGAACTGAGGTGGAAAATGTCTAGACAGAGGGAATGTCATGTTCAAAGGTGCAGATGTAAGAGAGAGAATGACAGGCTCAAGGAGCTACAGATAAAAATGGAGCAAAAAGTTCAAGGGACCAGGAAACAGGCTTTAAACTAATAGGTAAGTGAAGTTAAAAAGCCATATTAAAAAGCCATATTGAGAGAACTGGACTTTAGTTTTAAGACAGTTTGTTCAGGGAATAGACATGATTAAATTCATGCTTTGGAAAAATCATTCTGGATGTAGTGAATCAATGAACTTTAGAATTTTATACAATCAACATATTTAAATTTTTTGTAGTCATATTAAGTGCACTTTAACGAATTTGTTGTTGTTATTCTTGATGCATGGCTTAAGAATGAATACTGTAAATTTGAACCCAAACAAATTCTTTTATTCCCCAATAAAATGGACACATATTACAGAGCAAAGCATTGTGCTAGCTAATAAGCAGAGGCTGTGTGTGTAGGGAGATAAATAAGTATGTAGGTAGATAGATAGATACATACATACATATATACCATATATAGATACATAGAGTGTGTATGTATGTATATAGTCCCTTGTCTCTCAACACCCAGTTGAGAGCTCCACTGTTGGTTTTGTGGAAGATATGTATTATACAAGTTTATTAGGAACTTATATGAATATATAAGATTAAAAGGCCTTATAAAGAGTGTTGCATAGTTCATTAATTTATTAATGTTTTACTGGCTCCAACATTACCAATAAGCAAAACAGATCTGTGTCTAGTCTCATAAATAATTTATACTTGTTGATTATCTATATGTATAAAACCCTAATATGCAAATAGACCGAACGCCAAAACAACCAAACACCTGGTTGCTATGATATGCGCAGAACATGGCGGGCGTTGGCCGCAGTGGGATGGTGGAGCAGGTGAGTGGGGGCACCAGACCAAGGCAGGGTGCTGGTCACTGTCATCTAGGTGAGCCTCTGGTGGTTACTGAAAATTCTTTGCTTCTTTACGCTGGCCCAGCTCGCACCTGCTGCCAGTACCAGAGCCGCTGCTTGCACCCGGCACTGGCCCTGATCACTCAGCGCCATTAGCTGGTGCGAGCAGCGGTTGCTGGCCCCGATTGTGCCTCAGGGCTTTTCTACCTCTCCCTGCTCCTGAGGGGCAATTAGGGCAAGCAGCCACCTCTTGCACCCACTGCCGGTGCAGGCACTGCTCACACCCGCAGCCGGCGCCCGGAGCTGCCACTCGCACCCGCTGCCAGCACCCAGCGCCAGTCCCAATCACTTGGTGCCATCAATGGATGCAAGTGGTGGCTGCTAGTCCTGGTCATCCCTGAGGGCTTCTCCACTCCCCCTGCTCCTGAGAAGCTATTGGGGTAGCAGCCACCGCTCGCGCACCCTGCTGGCGCCGGCCCCAATCGCTCTGAGCCGTCAGCGGGTGCAAGTGGGGCAGGCGCCATCAGCGTGGAGTGGGGCTGCTGGCAGACAGGGGACTGGGGGCTATGACAGGAAAGGCTGGGCCAGAGCACAGAGGATGGGCCGAGATCCACCCCTGTGCCCACTGCAGCCTTGAGGCCCACAGTTACTTTCAAGATGCACAAATTTGCGCACTGTGCCCCAAGTTATTTTCATAACAGTGATGATCTTTCTGTGGCAAAGATCCTGGAAGTTAATGGGAATCAAAATCTATTAGGCTCACTTCTAGCATTAAGTCATGACCTTCATTTTCATTTAGCTTTCCCTTTTATTGTGACAGTGACTGAGGTGATACTGATTTTGGCAGAGTGCTTGTGTATTCATATTCATACTACAGGCTCAGTGCATGAATTTGTGCATGGGTGGTCCAGCCAGCCTGGCCCCAGTGGTGGATTGGGGCTGGGCCTGTTGGGAGGAGGAGATGGAGGGAGGTTGGCTGGCCAGGGCTGGGCTGGCTGGGGGGAGGGGCCACAGGCGATTGGCAGGTAGGCTTCTCCCCCAGTTGGGGTGGGGAGCCAATTAAGGGTGGGACCAGCCATGGGGAGAGGCTTTGGGCGGTGGGCCAGGAAGCCCTGCCCCCGAATGGGGTGGGGAGGGTGATCAGGGGTCAGTGGCTGGGGGAGGGGCCATGGGAGGTTGGCCGGCCAGCCCCACCCCCCATTGGTGAGGGGGGGTGATCGGGGGCAGAGCTGGCTGGGGGGAGGGGCTGTGGGCTGATCAGAGTGGTGGGGGCTGATCAGGGGTGGGGCCGGCCATGGGGAGGGGCTGCAGGCAGTTGGCCAGCCGGCCCTTCCCCTGATTGGGGGTGGGGGGCCGATTCTGGGGGTGGGGCCAGGTGGGGGGGGTTGGCTGGTGGCCCCACCCTCGATTGGGGTGGGAGAGGCTGATCAGGGGTGGGGCCAACTGGGAGGAGGGTCACGAAAGGTTCGCTGGCCGCAGTGGACATCATGGTGACTGGTCGTTCTGGTCGTTACAACGTTCTGGTCGCTGGCTTTTTATATATATAGATGGGGTGTCAGTCCCCAGATGCCATCCCTCTGAAGTAGGTACTCTTGTGCTTATGGGAGACTATGAAGAATTCCTACTGGCCCACTCTGCCCTAGATCTGGTACCTATGAGATGAATGATAATGAGGTGAAGATCATAGATGGGAAAGGTTTGTCTAAATGCTGAAGAGATCTTTCCTTAGATATCTACCTGGCATCCCTGACCTATGCATTCTTTTTTTGTTCCTCCCCATGTGTTTTGCTGGCTCTGCCAAGCATCCATTGAACAGTCATCAGATCTGCCCACTTGCTACTACTAGAGGGACATTAGAAATCACTGAGTCAAACCAGTTTATGTTACATATTTGTTTATTCATTTAATAACCATTTACTGATTGCCAACCCTTGTTGTGGAGCTGTGGATATATTGTTATATTGTTGTTAGTTTTGTGGAATACGTTTACCATGCATATATTTGAATGCATATCATTAGTGAAGTAGTATTCCAAGAATGATGAAAAGCAATTGAGGTACAGGTACAGGCTGCTATTTTCACAGTTATGTTGCAAGTAAGTAGTATTAAGGTTTTCACAATGTGAGCTCTGCAATTTTTTACAGATTTAATTGGAAGCAATTTCATACATTTGCATGTTTAAAGTCAGTGTTTAGTCTTGTAACAATATGCTATATGAGGGATAAAGGAACAGTGAATTCTTAGCCATCTGCTTTGTGGATATTTTTCTATGAATTAAAACACTGTCTCCATTGTCATCTTTCCCGAAGCTGTGGATTCCTGATCCTATTTGTTTGTGTTTTTAGTGTGACTCCATGAGAACATTTCAAAGACTGCTTAGTTTTATTTGTTTCTGTCAGCATACCGGAATTGTGGGAAACCGGAAGGGAATTAGAATAAAATTCTTGAATTTATCAGAATAAATTCAGCTGTGAAGGATTTATAGAATGAAGAGGGAAATGGCATAAAACATGCTGATAAACTAGAATAGTAGATGTCCTTCCAATAAAGGCAAATGCATTTGCCCTTCTTGGAAATTGGTTGAGTTTCAAACCACATTAAAGAGTAAATTTGAAAGTCGAGAAGAAAGTGGCAAGTTCTCTCTCTTCCTGTCCTGGCTAAAACAAAATATATGATTTTTTAACTTAAATATAGAGCAGACCATATCTTGTAAGCAAATTGGCAAACACCTTACTAAAACAAAACCAGCCAAACAAATGAAAAACACTTTAGGGTAAAAATCACCTTCCTATATAATAAAGAGCTAATCCTATATAATAAAAGACTAATTTGCAAATTGACCAAACAGTGGAACAACCGGTGAAACAACCGGTCTCTATGATGTGACTGACCACCAGGGGACAGACGCTTAATGCAGGAGCTGCCCCCAGCCCAAGCAGGGCCAGTGAATGGGCAGCGCCAGGCCAGCTAAGGCGGGTGCCAGTGGGGGCCCTCCGATAGCCCCACCAGTCACCCCACAGATTGGCCTTGATCCCTGGCCAGGCCTAAGGACCCTACCCATGCACGAATTTCGTGCACCGGGCCTCTAGTAAGCTAATTAGACCGAAGAACAGAACAATCATCTGACAACCTTCTGGATGAAGCCGTGGCTGTGAGGGCCGAGCCCCTTGCATGAATTTTGTGCATCGGGCCTCTAGTCTATAACAATAAAAGCACAATATACTAATTAGACTGGGCATCCTTATGGATGTCCTTCCAGATGACCTTCTGGATGATGCCTGGGCTGCGAGGGAAGCCAGGGTCC